CTCCCAGACCAGGTAACCTACACTTTGTGGACTCCTCCATCACTGCAGTCCCATCACCACATTTGTGAGCAAGAGATATCCTGAAATCTAGTTACTCTAATATGGAATGACCAATCAGAGGCCGATGTGTGGAATGTTCCCACAGAGTCAGGGAGGATATGAGTCATGCCTTCATGCATCATTGAAGCAAGCCGTGTGTAGATTCTTTTAAGCATTTACCATAAATGGATCCCTATATCACCATCTGTTCACTGTAGGTACAGGAAATATGATAAAGCCATTTTTGTTATATAGATATCCAGTTGGTAGTTTGGGAAAGGTTTTTTCCTTTCTTTTGAAATATATACTAATAAGTCAAAAGAAATGGGCATTTTCTTTTACAAACTACACTTGGAATAGTGTTAAGTCTTGCCTGTGTAGGCTGGCCCAACTCCAGGGGTTAGCTCTCTCTCAGGGAATATTGAAAACCCTAGTATAATCCTAAAGTGTAGATGTTGACTTTGAAAGTCAGTTTTAACTGACAGGTGTGTGAAATGGCCATGAAACTCCCCACTGGGGATAATGAAAATGCTGGGGAGCACCAGTGAAGGGGGCAAGGCAATCATGTGACCTGTTTTCTCATTTTGTATGATCCTTTCTCTGCACAGAAATTTATGTTCGTGATACATAAGATTATAATCACATTTATCAATGCCTCTTTTTAAAGTAAATGCCAAAAGTACACAGACTTAAAAGTCTGTCCTCTGGGAAAAACTGACATACAAGTATACCTTAGCTTCTGTGTAAAAACACCAGCTCTCTCTTTAAATGATAAATGATAAATGTTCTTCCTTTGAACTATGGCTATATCAACCTCAAACCAGTAAATTTTGAAAAGAAAAACACAGTGATGAGAAAAATCACAGCGGCAAAGGACGTACCTAAGTAAATAATTAGCTCTCTTGAATCTGAATATAAGTTCTTGGTCTTCTAACCTCCGAACTCCCCCATTGCCACATTCATCAACGTTCACAGTGTCTTAACTACTAAGATTTTAGCATTTCCCAGGACTAGAGATGAAGAAGAAAGTAACTGACTTTGGATAGATGAAGAAAAATTTTAGGATTGTTTTAGAGATCCTGAATTTGCAGTTCTGAAAAATATATTTTAAATAAATGATAAGCCCCCTCTCCCTTGCTTCACGGATCTTCATTTCTATGAGCATAGAGAGAGAAGTCACTACCATTTGCAGTGTCCCAGCAGTTAGAGATTGTGAATGGTGAGCACCTGAACCCTGAAAACAACTCCACTGGAGTCTGCCCCCTGGTGGACTGCTCAAGGATGCACCTTGATGAAGGGCGCAGAAGCTTCACTTCCTACCCACTTCCCCTGTCACCCTCTTTCCTTCTAGAAATTGCAGTGAATGCCCCAGTTAAAAGCTTTTGCCCCTACTAATTATACATTAATTTTAATCAACAATATTTGCGTATGTAAAGACGCTGGACTGCCTAATCAGCCCTCCAGAGCTAAAAGAAGAACCATATTAGATCAACACGTTATCATTGGTTATCATGGCTTTCCACAGGTAAGAAAAAAGCAGAAAAGTGGAAAATGAAACACAGAGCAAAGATGTAGATGTGGTGAGGGCTTTTGGATTCTGGGAAAATCGCTAGACAAAGAAAAAGAAGAGTTTAAAAGTGAATAAGAGGATGTTATAGGAAATGAAATATTTGGCAATTTCCTTTTGGCCATTAAAGCCACTGCAAACCATCTCTCATACACCCTTTACACCTTTGGCTGATATTTTTCACCAGCCTAAGTGGCTAAGTGTGAAAGACGCCTAACCTCAGTCATTTCCAGTCTAGCCAGGTTTCTTCCATTCAGGCTAGCTTCATCCTCCCTAGTTCAACCTTTCTCAAATAGCCTTCACTTTTTCTGTGCTACAGGTGCTACAGGAAGTAATGGGAAAATAATGGCTAAAGAGGAAGTACTGTTCTGAGAAGCCAAAAAAAGTGTCAGGTATTTTGATAGGTGCCTTACATGTATAGATTCTTGCAACCAATTGTCAGCAGACTGAATTTGAGGAGATCCACACGGCTATCCCATGCTCTATTTGCAATTCAAACCTAGGACTTTCTGAATCCAAAAGCTGTTTTTCTGTCTATTTTTCTGATGTTCTGATAATTCAGCCTCCACCTCTTACATTTCCCCAAGCCTGCTTCTAACCCTGCATTTCAAGCACCAGGCAGTACCTTGGCATCTCACTACCTAGCCTAGAGACAACATTCCCTCTAAATATACGGATCTGGAAAACTCTTGTGATAGTGCATATGACTTACCCTCTTTTGCAGAATGTGAGAGCACAATCTGCCTAATGCCTTTTAAATTCTTCCTACTAACTAAATCCCCCAAGTTGCGGCAGTTCTTGCCAGTGTGCCACAGTATCATTTATCACCAATCACTCTCTCTTGAGGGTTCAAAGTCCTCAATGCCACCCAGAATCCAATGAACCAATCCTTCCATAATAATAGAATCACTACCAATTCCTTTTTTGAACACGAAAAGGACTTTATTTCATTATTCGCCTAAATTTCATTTCCAGTTACACATTTGTTGAAAGGTGGAATACCGAAGGCAGTTTTCAGTCATAGCAACTCCATCAAATACACATAATCTGAGATTTTACTGCTTGTGTGAATTATAGTCCTCACAGGGTTTCCTGGTTAAAGAAGATAAAACTAAAATAATAGAGAGGAAAAGTGAAGAATATTGTACTGTAGGAAATTTGTTGAATTCAATAACCATTATTCATGGGTGCCGTGTCCATTTTTTTAAAGGAAACTCTAAAATTCCTAGAAACACAAGACAATATTGGTATTTTTGAATGAGTATACATTCATATATTTGTGTGAATTTTTGTGCAATTAAACAATATGGCAAATGTTATTTGTTACCACAGCCAATGAAGATGTATTTTCATTTCTATATAAGCTGAACATTTCCATCTCCCATTTTATGTTCTGCAAAAAGCCATGTGTCTAGTTAATGAAACAAACAATACTACAGGCAGCAATAACTGAAAAGGAGCTTAAAAGTCTTAACTACATACCCCTGGGATGAATAATACACTTTGCGTATTCATATGCATTGCTGGATGATGAACCTAGATTTCGTATAACTATAAGGGTTTGCAAGCTTCTACTGCACACAATATGCCCCAAATTCAGTTAATTCAGCCAAATAAAGCAAACATGTAAGTGGGTAATCTACAAATGGCAAACAGCCCATGTGACTAAATTGACCGTGTTTTGTTAATATGAGGACACAATCATTGTAGGTGCCCTATAAACAAGTCATTTGCAAGTTTCAATTTATTTATTTATTTCAATTTATTGTCCCCCTCAGGCTCCTAGAAGTTGGCTTCATTGTTTGTTAGGCCCAAAGAAAACACAGCTGCATAGACAAAAGACAAACATATTAATAACATAAAAACAAATACTGTGCTGTATGCACATTCCAATCAGTAGTAAGCTAGATCTCTCCATAGGAGAAATGTCACAAAACAAATAAAAACCTGGAGGATTTAACAGAAACACAGGGATTGTCCAATGCCTCAAATTTTATTTTATTCCAGTGGCAGGTGTAAATGCTGATCAAATTTCCCCTTTTTACTTAGTTTATGTGTGAACTTTTGAACAGTGTTTGTTTAAGAGTCATTACCCCAGAGTGAAGGTCTGCACAGTAGGAAAGCAGTGTACTTCAGCTCAATATATCTGTTGTCTGACTGCCTGGACTGGGGAGCTTCAAGCAGGGAGGGAATCCATTTTACAAAGACAACTCACTTCTGCAGACAAAAGGTATCACACTCCAGAAAGCTCTCTGAATAATGGAGTGTGAATCTTCTTTGGCATACAAAATGTTCCACGTACATATTTTGTTTTCTGTGCAGATGATCCTTGAGGGTGACTCCTTTTTATTCAGATAATGCATTTTCACCTTTTGTTGTGTAATCTTGCCCTGTGTTGGAGAGGCCTCAGAGTGAATTTGGTATCAGAACTAAGCATTATTGAAATTTGAAAAGACATATATATATAAAGTATTACCGATATTATATTCATTGAGGTATCGGGTCAGTGACAAATTTCCAAGGTTCAAAAAAGACTTGTCAGTTTCCTGATTGCTAGTAAGTCTGAGGTTTGCTTCCATGAGTTACAGGAAAAACAGGCTCAATGTTAGCATCTCTAAGCTCTTCTAAAGTCCTTGCATGTCATCTTCTAGTAAAGTTTGTTCCCACCCAAACTTCAGTAGCAAGGGAAAACAAGGGTTTTTTTCCTTTAACATAGTTTTTTGGGTTCTTTCTTACTGCATTTTGAAGATTTTTGGGAAAAGGAGCTGGTTCTCTTACTTACTTTATATGTGGGCACACAAAGGAATTACAGATGGAAAGGAGAGTGTAGATGACTATCAGAAAAAGTCTCATGCATTAAAGATTTTTTACAAGTCAAATATACATCCTCCTATTGCCCTGCCCCCATTCCTTAATTGTAGAAGAACCATTTCTATTTTTTCAGTCTCCTTCACATCTCAGTGTATTGGTTAAGGAATAAAGATACCCTCCTTGTTACGGAGCAGTATATATCTAATACCCATCAGTTTAATTGACTGCATTAATAAAATATAGCAGCAGCTTGGGCTGAGTCACCCATCATATTCTTCATTTATGAGGATTTAAATGTGTAAAATGACAGGTACACAAAATTAGGAGGAAAATAAAGCAATCTGCAGACTTTGGCACTAGCACACATAATGTTTTGTTTGAGTTGTTAGAAATGTGGTTTGACAATCACTAAATAGGAGTTTAAAAAATTACAAATCTGCAGAAAACAAACAATCATAGGTGTTGGTTCTCAGTTTAATCCTTCCCATCTCCCATCCCCACCCACCCATATAGTTTCAATTATAATAAAAATAGAGATCTTAACATGAGAATTTTGCTGTTAAACTCTTCAAGGTTTCTCTGCATCATCCACGCCACACATAAGGTTTGAAGCACCAAATCCACAAGTTTCTCCAACCAAGTTTAAATAAACAGAAACTGAAGACTGAAGAATGCCAAAATAACTCTTCTTAAATGAAGTTGTTAACTCAAAGTTCTCCCCAAAACAAAGGGTCTCAAGCTTCTAGTTCAAGTACTGCCAGGCTCTATGCAGATCTGTCTCAGACAGGATTCAGATAACTACAAGTACCTCCGGTTCTAGAGGGCAGGATCCAGGATACCAAAGCAGGGCAGGGATACCCCTTCCATCATTGATTTTTAAAGTTACAACCCTCCCCTTGTGATTGGCTGCTGCAGGGTCAGTGCTGGACCTGGGGTGTGAGGGGAGAAAGTGAGCTTCCTCCTCAGCAGGGAAGCTCTATCTTTAGTTTGAACAAGTTCTCCTCTGAGAGCTCCAGCGCTCTCTCGCGCGCGCTCTCGCTCTCTCTCTCTCTCTCTCAGGGCTGTCCTGGCTTCTCAGGATCCATTGCCCTTGCCCAGAAGACAGAGCCTCAATCCGACCCAGTAACAGTGAAAGAAGAGTCGACCTACCTGTGGAACCAGACACAACATGGTCCCCAAAGGCCGCTTAGGCTACCCCATTGCAACTGACAAGTCAACCTGTGCACTTAAAGCGTATCAGTTTATGGAATGCTTGTTTGAAGTCCTCATTGGACATGGTATAGATGATGGGATTGATCAGGGAGTTGAGATAGCCTAGCCACGTGAAGAAGTCAAAGATGGCCAGGTGGAACCAGCAAGCATCCTTGCAAATAGGCATCACCAGGGAGATGATGAAGAAGGGCAGCCAACACACAATAAAGGCTCCCAAAATGATCCCCAGGGTCTTAGTGGCTTTGCGCTCCCTAGCGGCCATGAGCTTCTTCTTCTCTAGCAGGGCGTCAGAGACTCGCACTTTGACTTGGTTCACGTACACAGGGGACCCGGATTCGCTGGGCACATCGGGAGCCCGGGAGTTCACGGAGGTGACCGAGGACGTGGACCCGGGGGAGTCGGTTATCAGCTGAGCTCGGGTCAAGCGCTTGCCGGTCCTGTTGGGCGTCTGTTTCAAAATCCGGGAGCGGGCTTCCACATAAATGCGGCCGTAGAGGGCGATGAGGAGCAGGGTGGGGAAGTAGAAAGCGCCCACGGTGGAGTAAACTGTGTAGAGGATGTGGTCGGTGTTCACCCTGCAGTCCCACACCTCCTCCTCGGCTTTGGCTTGACGCCAGAAGAAAGGCGGCAGCGAGATGGAGATGGAGAAGACCCACACCAGCGCGATCATGACCGCGGCCCTCTTCGTAGTCCTTTTAGCGGAGTACTCCACAGCGTCCGTGATGGCCCAGTAGCGGTCCAGGGCGATGACACAGAGGTGCAGGATGGACGCAGTGCAACAGGTGATGTCCGACGACAGCCAGAAGTCGCAGACCACCTGGCCCAGCGTCCAGCGGCCGGTGACCGTGTACATAGTGCTGATGGGCATCACCAGGATGGAAACGAGCAGGTCGGTTACCGCCAGGGAGGCGATCAGGTAGTTGGCTGGGGTGTGCAGCTTCCGGGTCCGGTACACAGTGGCAATCACAAAAGCATTGGAGAGCGTGGTGGCCAAGGTGATGAGTGCCAGCACCAGGACTAGCAGTACTTTCCAGGGCAGGGCGATGTAGTCCTGGTAAATGTAGCCCTCGGCGCTGCAGTTGTGGGGAGCAGAGGAGAGGTTGGCTTGAGAAGCCACGGTCTGGGAGCCCGCGGGCGGCGGCGGGGCACGCTGAGGGTCGGTTTCTTCCATGTCTTTCCTCTCCAGGGCTCTGGAGCGCAGCTCTTGCGCATGGAGCGAACGAGGGAAAGGGCGGAAGGACCGCGGGGGAGACCACAGTCTCGTCTCTCGGTTGCTAGTCAGTCCCGTGGGCTCCTCAGTTATTCCTCCACCCAGATTCCTAGCTGAAACTAGAGGTCAAGGGCGCGGCAGTCTAAGCAGGCGAGCGCGTCCTCTGCACTCCCAGTGCGCCAGGCGCTGCCACCGCGTCTCTGCCTGCTCCTCTCCACGCCCCGTCTTAGCCCTGGGTTGCTAAGGACTGGCCCACCAAGCCCTGCTCCACCCTGGATCCTACTCAGGCGTCTAGTGGCGAAGGGCGATGTATCGTTTGAGAAGGGAGCATCAGCCAGGTGGGGTCTCTTACCCCAATTGCTCCGGGCTGAGCCTCCTAACCCAGGCGCTCCAAGATCTGCAGAATCGGCCCGCAGGAGTTTCCTAGCTGTTGAGACCGAAGCTTGCAGGCCAGCCAGGAGTCCTGGTCTTGCACTCCCGCCTCCCTCCCCAGACTCGGGCAGTTTCCTGAGGCGGCTTTGGCCGCCAGAGCTGGGTGGGGTGAAGTCTGGGAGCCGCGCGGTGCCGCGCCTCGCGCCGGAGCTCTGCCCTCCCTTCTTTTCACGCGCTGGCCACTCCGGCGAGCTGCCCCGCGGAGACGCGGCCGCAAGAGGGGGGACTCGGGGGCTGGGGCTGGGGCTGGGGCTGCGGCTGCTCGCCACGCGCCGCCACTGCCGCCGCCACCTCGGTCCCTCTGGCACCGCTCGGAGCCATGGTGCTGGGCGCACGGGTCTGGGGGACCTGGCGCGGCACGCGGGTTTGGGGCAGGTGTCTGCGGGAGCTGTAGGAACGCAGCGTGCGCCAGCCCGGGAGGAGCGTGTGAGCGGCACAGCAGATGGACTCCTTTTATAGAGTCCAGGTCCGGTCAGCCCGAGCCGTGCAACTCTTGCGGCTCGGCGAGTGCGGGCGCCCGCTCCGCATCACCTTCCCCTTTTCTCTCTCCCCGCCCCTCCTTTCCTCCCGCCTGGTTCCCACCCCGGCCAAGGAAGCTTCCCGCCGGGTCCTACCGCCCTCACGCCCCACTACCCATCCCCGGGCCCCTCTCCCAATCCTGGCACCCAGACGCCGCAGTTCTGGCCAGGAATGGGGATGAGGGCGTCCTGTCCTTGCCTCTGTCCTCTTCGAAGCTTGCAGCGCGACCCTCTAGTTAGATCCACGCCCTCGGCCGGGGCACACTCCTCGCATCCTTTTCTGGGCTTCTACTTAAGCATCCGCACCCCAGCCGACCAGTGCTAGGTGGAGCCAGTCCCAGGCTCTGACCTTTTCACTCAGGAATTTTATCCAGCCTTGCGGACCACACCCAGGTTAGAAGGAGGCGCCAGTAATGTCGCCTTAGAAGGAAATGGCCAATAGTGCATTTTAAACTTTGGGCTTCAAGTCATACTTAACTCTTGGTACAATACAAACTAATATTCCATATCTGGTTTTAGGAATCCGTGCTTTCCATCCAGTGCCTCCCCTTAAACTGTGGGTCAACAGGGAAAGAGTGCTGTCTACAAAAATAAAAAGTATCACAAACAGAAGCCTGCCGATTGTGAAATTAAACCTTCCATTGCACCCTCCCTCTCCAGCCGCTCAGCAGTTCAATGCCTCTGGAAAACAGTTCACAGTAAGCACCTTCCCTCCCACAGCCCTAGACAAAGGAGGTCAACAAAATTCAAAGGAAAAAAAAAAAGAAAGAAAGAAAGAAGGGAAAAAACGGGTTTTGGGGCAATCAGCACCAGTGTGTCTTCTTTGCCCTCAACAAATACATCAGGGTATTAATTAGCCAAATGTGGCACCAAGCAATACCAGTTCCAGGTCCCACGACTTCCAGGGGTTCCCTGGTGCTCGGCTCCCCCTCCAATGTTAACAGAAATAAATGTAGGGTATAAGTACTAGTTGGTGAAAGTTTAAAGAAAAGCACCAGGAAAGGGTAATGTACTTTCAGCCCTCAGAGCTAAGTGATCCCAACCAGGAGTTTCTAGCACATAACTCAATGTTTGGTGGGTATAATGCATTCAATGAACACTACATCATAAGAGAATTTATCAGGTTAAATGTAAGTATATTTTAAAGAGGATTATTCAGTCTAGAACCCATGATTATTTCACCCATCCATTCAGTTTAGAAGAATAATTGAGAGCCTTTGAAAGAGCTTTTTATCCAACGTGACACAACACGGACCTAAGTTCTCTTAATTTCATCCTCCCTAAACCAGGCAGAATTAGAGTGCTTACCCTGTGCTAGGAATTCTAGACATTAGGGGTATAATGGGGCATACCCAAACCCATTTTTCAAATAGCTTACATTCTAGAAAAGGCAGATAGACAATAGCCACACAAACAAGCAAATGATTAGCATCCTTTCATATAACGGTAAATATTATAAAGAAAATAGTGCGTTCCTGCACTGAAAGTGAGGGTACTCCTTTAGGCAGCAGCTCTCCAAGAATGCCCTCTGTAAGCTGTCTGGGTTGCAGCAGCCAAGCTGGGGATAAAAGAAAACCTTCTCTTTCCTCTACTCCTGTCCCTAGAGCCCAGGATTGCTCCTGCTAACCTTAAGCTTTATTTGCACCACTATTATAAAGGGACCTACCCATCCTCCCCACCCACATCAGGCGCCTAAATAGACTTCATCTTTTTGCAAACTGCAGCACTCTCTTAGAAATCACAGCTGAAGAAAGCAAAGCAAGCGAGCCTAAACCACTAGGTGGGGGCGTTGGCCAGGATGGAGCAAAAGTGTGTGTGGTTGCAGTTGCGGCGGGGGGTGCTGCCAGGAAACTCTTTTCCTGCTATCTTAAGGGAGTGGCCAAGGTTAGGAGAACTGTTTGGAAGGATGCGAAGCGGAGGAAGGCAGAGAGGAATTTTACCAAGCTGCAGGCTGCCTTTCCTGTTTAAATTTCTTCTCCGGGAGCGTGCAAAGGAGAAAACCACTTGCTCCTTCTAGGGTTTAGATTTAGCGATGTAAGGAACCTGTGGCTTTCTCCCAGCCACTCTCACTGTTTCGCGGAGTCCAGAATCCTTGGTGGAATCTGCCACCTGTGGGCGGGGTTTGATTTTCCTAGGCTTTGGTTAAGAATTGCGTGAACACACCAAGCTATCATACAGAGGGATTGGGGCAGAGCTTAGTGGAGAACCACATTTTCATTAACTTGGCTCCCTCATTTCACTCAGTCCTTTAGCACTTTAAAACATAAAATACTCAGGGGTGCATATGTGTGGAACACTCAGGACAGCAGGGAACTTTTAAATTCACCTCTGCTTAGGTCTCTCCCATAGAGGAAGGACCCTTAGGCACGATCCACGCGCCCGCGCCCTCTCCGCAGTTCCCAGAAGCGCAGGGAGGAAATTCCCTTCAAGTTAGCGGGGAAACTCAATCCACACAGATTTAGCCAGAGGGCAAGGAGGGAACGAGCTGGAAAAGATCGAGATGGGGAAGCACACTGCAGGAAAGGTTATTTGGGTCGAATTAAGCTCTCGTTTGACCACCCAGCAGGGAGACTGCAAATTAGTGTGCTCCACGCGGTGGACCTCATGCAGAAGCTGAGGAGGTAGAAGATAACAGAGTGAAGCCTGTGCTCAGACGCAAAGCCTGACCATGGTGGTGAGCTGTGGAGGGACCAGCGAAAAATCTCCTCCCAAAGAGATTTTGCCTATGCTAGAAAGATTTGGCTGATGCAGGAAAATGAGAGGCGCAGGCTTGGAGGTTTGCAACGCGGAGGCGCTAGCTAGACTAAATGCTGTGGTTTCCTTCCACCTGCAGGAAACCACAACAGATATAACCTAGAACTTGCGCAACTCAGCTCTGTCTTGGCTGGAAGCCAGCCAGCCAGCCTAAGGCGGGGCACTGGGTTGTGCTTGCAGCGTCCCCATAGTCTTCCCTGCATTTCCCAGAAAGTGGCTCTTAGGAGAGCTTTGGGCACTGGGCACCAGAGCACAGAAAGTAATTGTAAGTTAACCTTTGTTTCGTTGCAATAAAAAATCCAGAATGCTCAAGCTCTAGTCGCTTTGCAATCTCACACCTTCCATCCCACTACTTGAAGAATCCACAGCCAGCCCCTAACCTCAACGTGTGGGGACCTGGCAAGCTCCTTTTTGCAAGTCCTGCTTCCTCAATCTATGGCCACTGTTTTTGGCTTTAAACTCCCACCCAAGAAATAGGCAACAAGAGACTCTGAGCTCTGTACAGCGTTCTCATGTGTGAGGGTGGTAGCTGGTTTCTCGGTTCCTCTTATATTAAGTTCCTCTAGTAACTTAAACCATTCCTTAAAAAAAAAAAAAAAAAAAGCCTTACTTATGTCTTGTTTCACCGAACTATGGAAATATTCAGATGAATGAACATATACAGATGTATACAGACGGTTTCAGCATACACTTCTGAGGTTTCCCAAACTGTTTGAGGCTTAGCTCCTTCTCCATATTCATTGAGTCCACATTGGGCCTTTGACAAGATATCTGTGTCAGGGTACTAATGTGATTTGTGCCTGATAAGGGATATTTAATGCCAAATAATAAAACTAGGTGCTTTAGTTCCTAAATTCTAGGCTGACATATATTAATCCCTGAGAATTAGTAGCTCTGTTATGTGTTTATATATGGATACAAATACTGTGTATCTATAGTTCAGGAAGAATGTGACAAAAAACAGAGCAAGTATATATAATTTAGACACTTTCTAATTCCAGTTTCTGTAATAACAGCCACTTTGCTATTTGGAACAGACATCCCCAACAGGTTAGGTCACTGCTGGTTCAAATCCAGCCTGGTTCCAGCTAGTAAAAGACCTAGGTCTCAGCTGAAGTCTCAATCACATATTTCCTGAATGAAGTTCTAGGTCCCAGAAGAAAATTTCCAACCTAATGCTTAAAGTAATATAAGTGGAGATTGCCGGGGAAGGGGACATTGAATTTTTCTTTTTGGACAAACAGTGACACTTGGCAATAACAAATCTTTGGATGAAACACAATGCCAATGAGTCCACCAAACTTAGAAACAACTTGCTGCATTCATTTGGCAGATCATTAGGCAGCTCTATTCAGGATGGAATCTCTCCAGAAAAATCACACGAAAGAATTTAACAGTGAGGTTTTCCACTGGCCTAGGGAAAGAAGCAATAGATATGGGTTTTGCCTTATTTTCAAACTAGGAGAAATTGCATTACTGTGGAATCGGTTTCAGGCTTGCAAACAAACAAACAAGAAACCAAACAAGAACAAGCCAAGCTGGTTAATTGTTTCTTCACCTGTAACTCATGAGTGATAATCATTAGCCTTTCTTGAGCACTGTGGACTAAGCCTCCTCTACAGGTTGCACATGTGTTCCTTCATTTAATTCTTATGAAAGTACTAGGAATTGTCATCATCTTACTCATTTTCTGGATGAAGTTGAAGCTTAAAGTGCTTAAGTAAATTTGCCGATGTCAGACAACTGATAGGGGATAAAACTGGTTTTCAAACCCAACTCTCTCTAATTTCAAAGTCCCACTTTTACCAGTCGCCTACA